AGATCACAAGAGAATTAATGGAAAAAAGGCTTTATAAACCATAAAGTTTATAATATTACTTCAGTTTTTAAATCACTTTAACAGTTCTAGAAAGGAAATAGTTTCTACCAAGAGACCAATTTTAATTATAGTGGTAGTTGAATATATCAATCTTGACCTTTATTCTTTAAAATAGATTAAAAAGCCGTTTCAGAGTCAAGAGAGTATGCCTTGACCTATAAAGACAATGAATAAGGTGATATAATTATTCTTTTTCCTTCTGCCTTATTAGCATGTAATGGAATGACTGGTTGATATTTACATTTAGAGAGAGCCCTAATTGTCCACAACTTGATACCCTATTTGAGTCATTGTACAGGCATACATAAATGGATGTATAAATCACATGTCCAGGGGAGCCTCTTTTTTATCACATGTAACTTGAGCAAAAGACTTGTCACCCTTCACATCTCCCTCATTTCCAGCTGCAGTTTACCTTTTTGACATTATCCGCTGCCCCTGAATGAACCCTGTGCTCCAGCCAGCCTTGATTACTTGCACCTGCAGTATCTGGCCACGGCAGAGCTCTTATGAGGATTCTGTAGGAGAAAGAGCTGAGGCTTTCTCATCCTACTATCCAGAGCACAGTCACTCAAAGCCTCTTTGTCCTTCCCTGTTCTCCCCACTCTGCCCGTTCTGTGCGCAGGTGAGGGCAACCCTGACTTCTGTCTTCCCAGATCCCGACGTCCTGTAAACCTCCCTACCCCCCAGCGGAGCACCTCAGCCAGGGAGCAAGTCTGCAAAACGAGGGTCCATCCTATAATAATAAAAGGGCCATCCATAATGTTATGGGGAACTACAAATGCCAATTGCAAATAATAATGGGAAATTATAAATAATGGGGAAAATGGTTTTTTTCATATTTCATTTTTGTCTTTAAAAGTATTTGCTGCCTTAGAAGAAGTACAGTATTGATCCCTTCTTTGAGGTTGGGAGAAGAGGACACAATTGTATTTGCTGGACATCCAGACACCATCTGAGCCCTCTTCTCCTCTTCCCATCCTCTTTTCCTAAGGGCTTGGGTGGGACTTCCTCTGAAGTTGAAGTCCTTTTCGGGACACTGATTCTTGGTTGGATACACCCAGGGTAACCCTGGGTGGTTGGAGACCCTCTACGTACGTATCCTTGGTTCCCACAAGGCAGCATTAACATTGTAGTGACTGGAAAAGAGTTTGCAGCCTGGGTTTGAGGCCATACGTTCATCATACTGTGTATCTGTCCCCCATCAGATCATAGGTACCCTGTCCCCTTCCAGGCCTTCTTCTCTTTTTGTAGGAGCTCCACTGAGTTTTAAGTATTGTTTTTTCTCTTACATATGAAATTCAGCAGCTCCCCGGCCTCTTCTGAATTTCTAATCCTAACTCCTGAGAAATCAGGAAAGACTTCCGTCACTAGTGCAATCTGCTGTATTTGCTATATGCTCTCAGAATAATAGGGGCTTAAGTCTTCCATACACCCCTGCGCACACATGCACACCCGCACGTACACACACACACACACACACACACACACAGTCTGCCATACAAGACCTAAGGTTTACTTATTGACATGTGGTCATATTTTTATCACAGTTGTGATCATTGCCACTTTCTGTACCAGAAGCAAAGTCGTTGGTATAGTCTCTGATTAGTCCTCCAGACTTAGTACAGGGTGTCTTTTGCCCAAGTGAAGGAAACCCATGTACACCATTCCCTGATTTTCAGTCTTTTGAGAACTCAGCGGTTGGTTGGGGAAGCCGAGTGTTACACCTCTATTCATTTTAATCCTCCAGTGACTAATTCACTGGTGACACAGTCCCAAACATTTTTAAAATATAGCCCTTTTCCTCTTTCTTTACCCAAATAAGCTTCAGGGACAGCCAGACTCCCAGGGGTGCCTGCTCTCTGAAGAAGTCTGATTTTTCTGAATCGTCTTTATGGCCAGTGACCCTCTCAGCAAGGTGCTCCACACAGTCCCCATTTTTCACATAATTCTCCACAGTCGTTTGTCACACGACACACCGCAACGAGGTCTTTGCATCCTTCTGCTACCATGTGGTCGGAAAGAAATCTGGCCTATGAGTGTAGCAAGTTCTCATTTCCTGCATGTTGACTCTTTGGACCTGGCCAGGCATTCAGTCGGGGCTGCCTCTGAGGCTTGGAGACCCCGTGATTCCCAGAGCTGGAGAACGTCTCATTTGTCTCTCTTGCTTTTCTGCCCCCGAGGCCTGCCACTCTTCCGAGATTGCAGCATTCTGTCTAAACACAGGGCAAAACCCTCTTCTCCCATTGCTGAAAATACGTCTGCAGGAAGATGGAAGCAAAGTTTCCTGTCTTCGGCAGAGAACCACCCCCAGAGTCAATTTCCCTTCTCCCCAGATCCCCGCGTGAAGCTGGTGAATCTGGAGGGTTTGAAAATCGTCCCTAGCATCGTGTTGAGGATCTTCTGTTCTCTTCCAGAAAAGACTGATTTTTCTAGGAAGCCATGTGCCCAGATTGTCAGGAATGGATGGCGGTTTCTTACCTGCTCTGTCACACAGGGAGTTTCTTGATGTCACTCGCCCCAGTAATCCCACTTATTGCTCTGAAAGCTTGTCTCTCCATGCCAGATGTCTCATGTCGGATGGAGCATCCCACCATCTGATCCCAGAAGAGTTGCCGTAGCTTCTTATCTGATTATGAGGCAATAGTCCAGGGTCACCTGAACCAGCCTAAACTCCCAAGCACCACGTATCCTAGCAATAGTTAATTGCAGAGAGGACGTGTACACTCCTGGTGACTCAGTTTCAGGATGATTATTCAGTAAGAGCTACAACTGGGCACTGAACCTTAGTTCAGAGCATTGACTTTTCAAAAAATAACCTCCTGTATCACCATCGTCTAAAGCCTCACTGGTTTAGGGAAGAAATGGAAAACGTTTGTCTAGCATGTCCACTTTTTAATGACCCGAAACAGTAACCATGAATTCTTTTAGTCATAAAGAAATTAAAATTGCTGATTAATAAACCCACACAGACCTAGATTTTGCCATCATCACTACCGCAGTGACACCTCTGATCATTTTCACCTTTCAACTCGATGTGGAAAATCGGGCAATGCAGATCATTTTATTTTTATCTAGTAGACTGAAATCGAACGTTGAACTCTCGACACTCAAACTAGAAAGAAAATGTAGGCATTGTAGCAAATTAGACTGAGTGAATTCTTCACAGAAGTGATCTAAAGTCACGTGAGGGTGAGGCTTTCAGCTCTCTTTTTGGATATATGTGTTCTCTTTGCAAACAAGAACACTTAGGATGTCCTTTTAAGAGATGAGTACCAAGGTCCTTTGTAGTTCTGCAGTTTAACATTTCAGTAAAATGCTTGCTTACTCATTACTCTGTACATTTACGTTACTCTTTTTGTAATGTGTCTTTTTTTCACTAGTACAATATCACCTTCTTCAGTTGGTTTTCAACTGAAAATCTACTACGTGACCATTCCACCCAGCAAGGAGAGTGTTTTAGAAGCCAGGTTACTTAATTTTGTGATCTAAAAGAAACTAACAGTGAAACAAATCCTATTACTTAGTCTTATGAATTATTATAATCTCTATTTTAAGAATATTGTCTTCTATAACTTCTAGTCTAACATTTTTGTCAGTTTTATATCTTACTGGTTCCAGTAACTTGTGGAAATAACATAAAATAGAATTAAAGCTATTAAGTTCCCAAGTTGCTTAGAAGAAAATTGGATTTAATGCTGATGTAATTGAGACTGGACATTCTGTGGGTAAAGTTCCACCAGGAAGCAATTGGGACGTTGATGGGGGAGAAAACTTCGCTGTGGACATTGCCAACGATCGTTTTTGTGTTGGTGGGGGGACACGATACGTGAGAATTTCGAGGCATCGTTAATTTCCATAACCACTGTAAACTAGAAGTAAGTCAACTACATTTGAAAACACTAAGTGTTCTTTATAGGTGCTTCTACTGATGTGCTGACTTGATCACATGGTAGAAATAAAAGTAACGAAATCAGTTTTCTCTCTTACATAATGTGATTTTTAAATTTAACTTCAGTTAATGTTGTTAACATAGCCAAGTAACCAAATAGATTGTGTTCAGAACCTGATTTGACAGTACGTGCCCTAGCACTGGGAGTGAGAGATAGACATCTTTTGCTATGAGGTTATCAAGAGTGCATCCCATGTATTTTAGGCACCTGCTCCTTAATTAAGGTGCTATGATTGCTCATGGTATGCTGAGATTACATGGTATAAAACTGTTTCTGTGGTTGTCCTTTTCTTTGTTGACTCTGAATTATTTTCTCTTTTATGTTCCATTTCTGCTGTCATTTCTAATAGCTCTGCCTCACCACCACTTCCTAAAATATAACATAGGGACCATGATTACATCGTAGTGTTTGTTCATACTAATGACCCTCCACTTCCAAATTTTAATACAGGGTTAAGAGAGGAATGGATAGAGTTAGTAGCTTTTGAATACTAATGAAAGGGTCTTTGTACATTTGCATTAAAATACTAATGCATGTTAAACACAGAATCTGCAGGGTAGTTTTTCTTTCATGACAAAATAGAGCAAATATTAAATACTCTGTGAAAGACTGTTTAGAAAGAGAGCGGTTACTAGCCCACATCTTGAACTCTGAAAGTCAAGAATGTTTTCTCATAACTAGAAAGAAACCACCGGAGTTCCTGCTCTTCAGGCCTCCATTCTGATCATCATTACAGAATGTTCCAGAAAAAAAAAAAAAAAAAAGGTGTACTTTTTGCGATCGGGCTTATCATTAGCGTGCCTATTTTTATTTTATTCTCTGGGGGTGGGGCGGGAAGGTGGGGGAAAAGACACATTTAGGTAAGAGCTGTTCATTAGCCACCATTGAAGAAAAAATTGAACTTTAGAGAATCTATCAAAAATTCTCTGGTGAGCCTTTTATTACTATCTTGTCTTGAGCCCTTTTTTTAATGACATCTATTATCAGATTGAAATGGCGATTGAGACGCTGCAAAAGTCTGACGGTCTGTCCACTCACAGAAGCTCTCTCCTCAACAGCCATGTAAGTTGCCTCTTCTTCATGTAAACTAATCTCTTGCTTGTTCTGCATGTGTTGCTTGCTTCTAAATGCTTGTTTTATTTATTGACTTGTTTATTTTGCTTCTTAACCTTTCTCTCTCAGCGCCCTATGATCTCTGTATCCCTTCATGGCTATTTTGTACAGCAGAATATCTAAAACAAACAAACAAACAAACAAACAAACAAACCCCAAATGGAGCCCCTGATATACTGCTTTACTAGGTTTTTGTGCTGTTTTGGTACAGATGTAACATTTCCAAGTTCATACCAAGCTGCCATTTACTTGTGAGAGCTAATTAATGGGGATTTTCAATATTTAAAGTTTTCTGGTTTGATATTGATTGTCTGTGAAGCAAATGCTTGTGATCCGCATCTCTGTGTCCGAAGCAGGCAAATGGTCGTGTCTGCTTGTATGCCCAGTAGTATTCTGTAAGTGGAAAAAGATGATTAATACCAAACCGAGTGGTAAACTGTCTGAAAATGATCTCTTTACTAGTAAGACTATATAAGGTGGGCAGGAAACAGTGACCTAGATGAGCTCAGGTCCTGAGACCTACAGAAAAATGAAACTGGGCCAAGAGAAGAAGGGAGACTCTAGATAAGCCATAAATTGATACTAATTGAGATTAAATAGGATCACTGTTACTATTTCTTGATGCTTTTACCTGTTACCAGATGCAGCCATCACTGTAACACTGGTAAGTCTGGGAAGATCAAGGACAGTTTTGTGAAACTATGAACACTTTCAAATTTCAGATTTGGGGGAACTGATGGAAATTCTGATTAAAAATTATTTTGTTGCCATAATTTCTGAATATATGGGGAAAAGTAAATAGAGCTGTGACTTATATCTGTTTTATATCTGTTTTAGATAGATCTTCTGCTAAATTAATATCAATGACAATACACTAAGTTAGTTTTCCCTCCCAACTGACAATGTATTCTTAAACTGAGAAATAAGTTATTATAATTTTTGAATTCTTCCCCGTATTTTGTGAGTGAAAAGTCTAAAATTGGATCACCCAACCAAAATGAGATATTGTTATTTTTTCAGTAAACCTAAAACCTTTAGTTCACAGATAATATTTTCACTGTGCTTTTTAAATAATTGACTTTTCAAAGTCTTAAATTTTATATTCCAGCTTAGCACTAAATACCTCCATGTCTTTTACACATTTGTTTTTAGACAAATATTGTGTGTTCTTTCTTTTTCAAGGGAAGTATCATGGCAAATAAAAACAGGTTAGCCAATTTGGAGAATGCCTGCAATTCTGGTAAAAAGTATAGGTTGTAAATTTTAAAATAATGTATGTTTTGGCCTTTCTTTTTGAAACAGTTTAAGGAATGTGATTTTTTACCCCCGTCTGAAAATTTATATGCAGTAAAAAGTGTCACTCTTTTATATGTTTCATCAGTATATCCCTACTGTGTTAGCATGAATTTGTAGTTGTGTATAAAGACTGGTTTAATGTACACTATTAGGGTTTTTTTTTGGGGGGGGGGTAATGACTTAACTGGCGTTTGTGTTTTGAAAATGGCAAGTAAAAATGTTTTCTACTTTTAGTCAAAATGTATAGGAACATAAGAAAAACAAACAAAACACCTGAAGCCAACAGTTAACTTTCTGAACTGTCAGACTTCTAAGAAATTGTGTTTTTGTTATTTAATTCATATCTCATTTCACTTGAATTATGCAATTTAGTAAAATATGTGCTGTGTTTAATTTTAACTTGGATTACCAATATTTATTAGTATTCCATGACTAATAATATAGGTATAAGAACATGGGGTTGTTTTGGTATATTTTTGTTGATTTGTTGGAAACTCTTCAGATATGTTGGGGTTTCTTTGAGATTATTATTCTCTTGTAAAACTCACAAAATAATACTTAATGTAAATGAACGTGTGGTTTAAGCTGCACAAACAAGGAATAAATGTTACTGTGTGGCTTCATGCTTTTTGTTACATAACACAGTAGCCCTTCCGTAGTGTTGTCTAACTGCCAGAGACATTTCAGGATATATACACGGTGGTGTGTGTGTGTGTGTGTGTGTGTGTGTGTATATATATATATATACACACACATATATATATACATATATATACACACATATATATGTGTGTATATATATATACATATACATATACATATATATGTACATATATATATATACACATACATACACACACACACACAGTGGTATACACACACACACACACACACATACACAGTATATAGATAAAAGTTGCAAATACAGTGATAATCTCCCTCTAGATGTCCTGATTTGTTTTGTTTTGCCTCTGAGGTAGTTAAATTCATTTAAAGCACATTTACAGTCAAGTCTTCACAAATACAAATGATTCTACAGATGGTATAGAAACTGTAAAGGAAGGATCTTGTCTCTGCTGACCAGTCAGGCTTCTCCCTGAACACATAACAAGAATTCTGTTGTTTTTCTCTCCTTGGAAAGTTAGTGATGCTCCTAATTTTTGTTAGGTTAATCTAAACAACTGGAAAAGCTACTGCATGTGTTCTAGTTGATAGTCACCTGCTAAAGGCATTTTAAAATCTGTTGACTTAATTGGTGATGTTCACTTGTAAAGAAAAATTTTAGTGGAAAAGTTTTTAAAAAATACATCCTTAATATCTTAAATGTCAGTAAACTGTAAGTTACCTGTATCCCTCACTATATGGGACATAATACAGATTCATTTGAGGTTTGTGGGATTCTTTAAAATGGACATGAATCCCAACTTCATGATGATACTTCCCTGACCTCTCAGTTACTACAGAGGATTGATTTCATTAGGCCAGAAATTAGTAGAACTGATCAATAATATGTGTCCCATGTTTAGTAGTTTTAGAAGAGGCATCTTAATCATGATTTTTGAGCAGAAAGTCTATTTCACTCTATTTTAGAATATGGGATAGAATGGGTTTCGCATTTTCCCTTTACACATTTGATTATTCACAGTAACTCAGAAAATTCTTCTTAGGGTCAAACAAATAAATAATCTCCTGTCAGTAGAATCCAACATGAAGGCTTTGTTTTTTTACCTTTCTTTCTGGGGTGGGGTTTTGAATTCTGTGTCCCCTTTTCAGCGTATCCTTAAGAGTATTTAGTACTGCTGCTCTGTTTTTATCATTATCTTCCTGTTATCCTTCAGATTGAAATGCATATGATGCATATATACTCCTCAGTTTCATACCCTATATAGTACCCCACTCAGAAACTGAGTATAGTTATATTGAGTGCCATGTTTCTTTTCTAGTATTGTCAATATTCGCATAATGGCAATTATTTTGGGAGTAACACCATGCAGGCAGAGAGTACATACAAACTGACAAGTTGAAGTCCCAGGAGAGTGAGGACTTCATACCTTTTATCCACTGAGGCATCCCTGGTGCCTAGAAGAGTGGATTACCTTCAGTATTCTCCATACCTTTGCCTGTCATATGTTCGTTTATTTGGGAACTCATGCATGCATTTTTTTGTTATCAAATATGCTTCTGTTGGTTTGTTTATGAACAGTATTGGCATAAAGCAGCCTTTTCCCTGCATAGAATTTGTGTGAAAGAGAATATATGAGCCCTCTATCATTGCCACATGGGCAACCTAAGACAACTTCATTTCTCTCCAAATAATCTCATCCTTCAAAAAAAAAAAAAAATCATAGCCACGGGTGATATCACTCATCTCCTTGTATTTTAGAATGGTACTTTTGATTTAGCTTTATGGAATTCACTTTATTAGTATAATAATTTTTAATTAAATACTTTTATTTACAAATCTTCTGTATGTGAGGATGCAGTGGGGCTTAATGATGTATATTGTCTGCCTACAACAAAGTAGACAGTCATTGCAGACCGAAGTTTATTTTGTACTTCTTCTCAGTGGTAACTAATATAAATTGGCACTTAATGATTATTTTGTACCTGATGTGAGATATTTTAGATTGCAAATTTGAACACAGGAATGTTCTTAAACTAATTGTTCCCAGTTTCCACAAAATGTTCTTGAACTTTTGCATTAAAAAAAAAAAAATCCATCTAAAGCATATAAAAAGCATCAGGCATTTATTTTTTATACTTTTTAAATCTAGCAGGTTGTTTTATGATTTTTGCTGGTTTTAGCTACTTAACTTGTTTTGTACTCACTTTCCCATGACTTTGCTGTATTGTAAATATAAGTTATGACAGAAATAAGACCTGTCAAAATGCATATCATCAGTGAACTGAACTTAAAATGAATCCTAATGGATAATAATCCATCTGGGGGAAAAATGCCAAATGTTACATTTAGATGTTAATTGGGGAATGCAGTATGTATTTTTTTTTTTTTTTAATTTGTCAATCAGTATTTCCCTTTGGGAAAAATAGGAACTATTCATCTTCCTTAATCTACCCTGATTAATATAGATTAAATGCAAAGGTTGAAAGATGCAATTATCTTGGTTTCCACCCTTACATGAATCTGTGTTAGTTCATCAGTAGAATAATCAAATTTTAAAGATAAAGGTTAAAAGTTCCTGTGGTATCTTTATAGGCTTTTAAAAACCATAAAGGTAAGTAAATATTCAATGACATTTTATAACAGAAGAAATGAAATAGTAATAGTTTAGTTCTAAATTGCTAAATGTTAAGGGTGTTCAATTCTAGGGTCCAAAGGGATTTTATTAAGGACAAAGCCCAAGGAAACTAGATCTCAACAGGTCTGACCTTCCCTTGAGCCGCACGGGAGGGATGCCTTTAGCTTACTCCGAACAGCCAGGTTTCTCTTAGAACAAAATCAGTCCTTTCTTATACTGTGTTTCAGACCCAAATATCAGATTTACAATGTCGTCCCTGTGATGAAACTTGAAGGCAACATAACTGCATGTAGCCTGCGCATGATAATACCCAGCTGCATCTCAGAATCTGACCTCGTGGCTCCTAAACCAGAGTCCGCTCACACAGCGAGCTGAGGACCGCTGTGCTTACGTGGTAGAGTTGTCCCCAGCATTTCCAGGTTGGGTCTCCAGCCCTCAGGGCTTTCCGCCTCCACATGACCTCCTCCTGCTCTTCCAAAGTGCTTGCCAGCCTTCTGGCATGGAGCAAACATTCCTCCTCCTGCGAATAAGGGGCAGGGAACGAAATGCACCTTAGCGTCCATCAAAGTTACAGTCCTCCGGAAACCCACTCTTACGGAGTTTTTCAAACCAACTGATAACGTAGACACAAACATACACGCACATACTACAAATAAACTCAGATTTTTTGAAGAACTGGCGTAGAAATGAAGAGTCTCTAAGAATGTAACACTGTATACTGTAAAACAAGAAGTTTGCCAGGCTGTCAGTCCAGATTACTTGACCTGTTGAGCCTTTCAGGGGACCACGGAGCCAATCTGATAAAAACTTCATTTTCGCTAAACGATTCATCTGGCACTTGAGTAATATCATCCAGGCTTCCAAGTATTTTAAGGCAACTTTTGCTGTCATTATGTCACTATTTTTGTGAAAAGTTTTCTTTAAGGGTGGTCTGATTAACTCTTTTATATATGTAAACATACCTTTGGACTCAAAATATTTTATGTTGAACTTCAATATTTGCACTAGTTTTCACTTCTGTAAAAGGCGTCTTAAGATCATACCCTCAAATATTTTATTATTAGATTTGCTTTCCAGGTTTTTTTTTTATCTACAAGACAATTTTCTTTATCATGAGAAAATAGTGTCATTTTAGATATCTGTCTTTACGTTTAGGTAATTAAATATTACAAGAGAACTAGTAAACATTTGAGGCAGTTTACAGAAATTTTCTATTTGTATCTCATTAATTAAACAAATTATTTTATTTGCTTTATATCTTGTTGAAAGTATATTGTATCAGATCTATTTTTACTAGTTGTATACTTTTGGTTATAGAGTTCATGTTACGAAATCATTTTCCATTTCTGAAAAAAGAATATCCTTTAAATTAACATTTCCTATATAGCTCTATGTTATGTTCATTAGCAAATAAATATTTTATTTTTATTTATTTATTTTTGTTACAAAATCATACTACTTTGGCTTTGACACTATGCCTTTCATGAGAAAGCAAAGATAATATATACAAACATATCTTTGGTATTCTTTACTTACATGTGTTGTGTGTTCCATGCTTATGGATGTGAACACTTCCTTAGTTCAGTTGCAGAATATTTGCTTTCCCCAAAAATATTTCAGAGTTTTTATACATTTGCCTTTCTGAGGATTCTGTTTTGGTGTTTCCTTTACACTCCTTCCTCTCAAGAAACTGAATTTCTCAGAGACTATGCCTTTCTATGTTTCTCTAGTCTATGTCCTGTATTTCTATATTCTTTATATGTTTAGAATACCATTTGGAAGGTTCTATCTAGTCTATACACACAAAACAAGAGCTCGCATTTCTGGGCAATATGGTTCACTAGAGCCTCCCCAGCACCATTCACGTGAGGAAGCACTGCCTTCAGATGCCAGTCATTGTCCTGAGGCGCGCGGATGAAGGGTAGGAGGGAGACTCGTACGGCCATATTTTGTGTGTCAGTCTGCAGTTGCCTTCATAATCTACAGAATCTGAACATTTATGAAGAAACACTAGAGACATCCTGACCCACTATGGTAGGCAGAAAACTAACCCGAGCCATAATAACTGGGTTTTCCGATCATTTTGCCCGCCCCCCCCCCTTATATGAAATGAGTGCGAGTAAGTGAACTTGCTCTGTGTGCTGTTTAGAACACTCAGAAATCATGTGTCTCTGGAAAACGCCTTTACTGACAGGTTACAGATGCTTCATCTCTAAAGAATTCTTTTTGACCTTTAATTTTTCTGTCATTATGTAAATTAACATTTATTTTGTGTAACCTTTTAGAAAGGGAGGGTTGTATGTGTTACAGAGGCAACGAGTATGTTTAAATGCACATACTCATATATAAGTGTTCACAGAGAACTTCAGGTCTCCCTGACCAGAATGTGAACTTTATTTTTAAAAGTACTGTGCTCTGGGGGCACCTGGGTGGCTCAGTCGGTTAAGCATCCCACTCTTGATCTCAGCTCAGGTCTTGATCTCAGGGTTGTGAGTTCAAGCCTCGTGTTGGGCTCCATGCTGGGTCTGGAGCCTACTTTAAAGAAAAAAAAAAAAAAAGAGTACTGTGCCCTAACTTGTAGACTTGGTGCCCATATTTTCGGAGCCAACATCAGTATGAGTTTAATGGGATAAGTTTAATTAAACATAACCATCATGTAAGAATATTTGAAATTAAAATGGTTTTGGTCAATTCAGTCATCATAGTTAAAGGCAGTAAGTCTAAAATATTTTTAATGAATTTTCTTAGTAAGAGCTGAAGGTTCAGGTTCTGAGTTTGTTCACAAATCTTAAAATATATAAACCAATGCTTTGATATATTTGAGTATCCGTATTGTATTTTGGAATATGAGTGTAAATTCCTAGAGGACAAGAGTGAGATCACATTCATTTCTACATTGCTAGGTGCCTAGCACGTTGCCTGGCTCATAGTTGATGTGCCAGGAATCCTTGGGCTCCCATAACTTATGTTTAATTTAAATTGCATGTAAAAATATCACTTCTTTATCATACCTCTTCTATATGGCATGGAAATTTTGTTGAGACAAGTAATGTGAAGTATTTGCTGCTCTTTGGAAATAACAACCGGTATGCAAGTAATCAGGAAATGTGTGTTGGGAACCAGATTGGGCTCTGAGACAATCTGTGACCTTAAGAAAATCATTTTTCATTTCTCCTTTTATAAATAAATGAATAAACGAGTTAATAATTTTCCTGCTGTTGAAATTCAGTAATACATACCTACATTATATTTTCTAAAATTTTTTTGCACTTGCTATACTTTAAAGATTATTTTTAAAAAACACAGGACAATATAAACCTTTCAAATGTGAACTACAGACTGAGAAAATGTTGCTTTACCAGCTACCATTATAATATATCTTCCAAAATTATGAAAAAACATAGCAGGGAAGTATAAAAACTCCAATGATTGTAATAAAAGATTCCTTTTTGTAAGTTACATATATATATTTTTTAATCAGTGTCTGGTTAATTTCTTTCTTTCTGGGGAAGAAATTCTTGATTTTTTTTTTCCTTTCTGCTTGCAGAATTTGACCCACTAGATAGTACCGTTGTTGTCCTGTTGGAGTATATTACATAAGTAAATTAAAATTCTATGTAAATGAATAGAAACTTAATAGAAAAACTCATACCAGGCAGCCTGCTTTTCATGTGTTAAAACAAAGTAACCCTAAAGCTGTATTATGTGCCACGCCACTAGGCTTGGAAATATCTTATATATTAGAAATTACAAATTTTATTTACAACCAGTTAAGGGGTTTCTTTGAATTTCCCGAAGAGGCGTTTATCCACAGAATTGCAATCAATACAGGGAATATTAGCATTCTTTACACATGCTTGAATGTTTGAAGGAATGGATGTGGTCCGAGGTCATAAATTAGGTTCAGTGGTGCACATTTCCAAGAGTTTTCAAGGTCTGATTATACCAGGCTTTGAATTACAACAGTTGACTCTATTACAAGTCTTGATGAAGATCTTCTAAGTATTTGTGTGTATTGTGTTTGTAGTGGCTTGTAGACATGTTGGTAAATTATATGGTTTCTCTGTGTTTACCTTGTCTTATTTGTACTAGCTCCAGTGGCTGTTGGACAATTATGAGACAGCAGAAGGAGTGAGCCTTCCCAGAAGCACGTTGTACAACCACTACCTACGACATTGTCAGGAACACAAACTGGACCCAGTCAATGCTGCTTCTTTTGGAAAACTAATAAGGTCAATTTTTATGGGATTACGAACCAGGAGATTGGGAACTAGGTTAGTATGAAAAAATAAGATCGTAAACTAATCCCTCTCTTTCAAACTAAGCAGTTCAGTATATCGTTGGAGCAAAAGTGCTTGATTACGGATAACATATAAAGAAAAAATAAGGAAATAGCTCAGTTTATACAGTCTCTCTTGAAGGAGGTCATTATTATTCACAGAATACTGCGAAACCAGAATGATGCATTGTCTTAAACGTAACTGAGCTCAGCTTTGAGATGAGTTGATTCCCAAATCATATAGAAATCAGCAAGTCAGACTGTTAGTGGAAGATTTACACATGGTGCCTTAAAAATTAATATATATCACTATTTTTTCCTTTTAAAAGTAAGCAGACTAGAAGTGATGTAGTCAGTGGAAAACTATCTCTTGACTGTTACAAAATTATATTGAAATGTCGTTATAAATAACTCTTTGAATAGAGTGAGAAATTAAAGCTGAGTTTTCATTTCTGGAGGTCAATTAAAAATCATTTGGTGAACTTGAAAAATTGGGGAGTTTGAAGCCCTCAGTAATGATATGGTCCTGTTTAACCTCTTACTAGCCTTTTTTAAACTCTTGACTGTGAAACCGTACATGTAGGGAAGTAAAAATACAGTATACCAGCATTGCACGGAAACCAATAATGTGAAAGAAATTCTTAGTTTCTCGCCTCTTTCCTTTGGAAAGAGATATGAGTGTTTTTACTAATCAAAATATCATGAACATAATACTTGGAACTGTGGAGTTTCATTTTGGGCCTTTCTATAATTTTTACAAATTATCATAACATAAATATTTTAAGAAGCTGGGCAGAAGGATATGGATGTTTTTGATTTCCTAAATCCTACAGAAATCCATATTAAAAAGTATAAAAATAAAGATGCTATGCTGTAGAACATTAGATGATACACCCTTCATTGGTTTTTAAGTCTCAGCTTCCTAGTGTTCTAGTGAAGAAGAGTATTTAATATTGTTAATAAAACAAAGAGACCCTCAGTAATTGACTTCATAGTCAATGTATGCTAAAAAAAAGGGGGGGGGTGTATATGTCAGTTTCATGGCATTGACGAGATCTGCCTGTATTCAGAGTGTGAATACTCCTTTCTGTTGCATTTCAAGTGATTTTACCTTCAGGTTGCTGGAGGTTCTCTCATAAATATATTTTTCTTCTACCTATACTTGGAAAGATAGTATATTTTTAACCAGAGACAATGAAGGCTAAAGGAACTCAAACTTTTAGTCCCTTGAAAAAAGCTCTCTGTCTCTCTCATACTCTCCTCCCCCCGCCCACCCCTGCCCCAGAACCACAAACATCTTTATTTGGGGATCTAACCTGCTATCCCCTTGCCAAAGGCTCGGTAGTTATGCATACCATGCCAGTATTTTGAGAGTCTGGGCTTTATTCAACATTGTAATAGTGGTATTGTTGTGCTCCTTTTGTTGCGGAGAGGGATTTCAGTGGGTCCTATTTTGAGGTTCCTTTCAAACCTTGAAACACATCTTTAAAATAGAAAGGGACAAAATTGGGGTGGTTTGGGTTTGTGAATGAGTGGAATCCAACTCTGTAAGTACATATTGCAGTATTGCAGCTTTATTTTCTGATGTTCTGTTCCCCCCCTCACCATGTAACAATTATGTTTCCTGTTCCTTTTAAAATTGGATGTACTGTTTGCAATTAGAGGTGGAAAGGAAAGCCTAGAAGAATGAGGAGGAAAGAAACCCTATGGGGAAAGTTTAAGCAAATGCTATGTTACGAAGATAGCAGAACTCTAATGTAGAATTGCTGACGATGAGGGCAAAGCTCCAGAGGGTCTGTCGTGGAGAGTGGTTTCTCATTCATTTACAACTCCTAACCCAGGGGACAGAAAGAAAATCAGTATTATAAATCATGAGGCAAACTAACTCAGATGATTCCCCTCCCCCTTCCCCAACCCCTCCCCCTCCCTTTCCCTCTCCTCCTTCCCCTTCCCCCGTCCCCTCCTCCTCCTCCTTCTTCTTGATGAACTGTATGCACAGCTATTACTTGTTAAACAATAAAATAATTTGTTGAATTAATTCAAACCAAAACTTTTCTCAACTTTATGTTCTAAACAAAGGCAATTCAAAAGTTTCCTTTCATTAGAATCCATCTGCAAATTAAGTTTAAGCAAAGAAAATCATGGAACATGGCTGATCTCCCCCAATCATCTCCCCACCAACCCAATGGAAATGCTGATTTGTAGAAAATGGAGAAGAAACTAGACACTTTATCTGTTTTGGTCGACAAGACAGACACCATTTTACTCTGTAGCGATCATTGGCTACATCCCTTGGGGATGGCTCCTGCTTCCCACCTCTACTCCTTACCCTTGCCCTGTTTGTAAGGGAGAACACTACAAATTGGTGTTTTTTGTTTTTGTTTTTTTTCTGTTCTGCAGTGGATTTTGGAGACAAGATCTAATCTCTGCAAGTAGAAGGCCCTAAGTTTTCATACTGTTTTATTTTACCAAAACTAGGTAGATACTAAATGCCCTACTTTAAAAAAAAAAATAGCAATATTATTTATATAATAAGATTTAATGTCTTTGAATATATATTCTTTAATTTTGGAAGTAAAATTCTGTTCTATTTTTATATAAAATATTTAATCCACACTCTTCTTGCATTTCTTTTTGTAAATGAAAGAAAAAAATGGAAAAAACAGCTGATGTCTTGCTATATATAGACTTGTGAAAAACTATTTTCCCTTTGCAAAAATCTACATATTTAAAATGTTATTTTTGCAAGAATTTGCAAATTTCATTCAGAGCAAAACTTTGTCATTTCTAATAACAAACATGGTCTTTCTCACGAACATGGGGAAATTGTGACAATTTTCATCCAGGTGGAAATTTGCCATTTTCACAGAGAAATTTCCCCATGTCTGTTGTGACACATCTTACTCAGCCCGCAAAACCGATATGAATCCGTTAGAACAGAGACTAATAAAGTATGTTTCAAGACCAATAGATTAAATGCCTGCTTCCTTTTGGGTTTCAAAATAGTAAATAATAGACTTCACCGCAATATTCTGTATCAGTGGAATTACCTTCATGATCTCTGCCATAATAGAACTTGCCAAAATGGAGAACGTATCCAAGACAATAGAATCAAGATTTCTTTTCTTCGTTTTGTACAACCACGTCGTAATAAATTCCCATCTAGTGTGCAGCCCTTTATGCTGTTGATGCATTTTTATTGGCCAGACATTTTTTGCACCATCACCCCTTCTAAATTAAATTTAAAATACAAATTTGAAAAGAAATATGTAACTTGCATGGACTTAGTGGCTGTTGTACTAATATTTTATAGTTTATAAGGAATATTTATATAAAATATAATAATATACTAATATTTTAGTTTATAAGGAAAGATTTATCGCAGGGCCCTGAGCCCACTGATTCAGAATCTTAATTTGATTCTTCAGGTGTAGCCACCATAAAAATACACAGGTGATCCAGAACAGGGAGATCATAAACATATGATATAAATATGCCACTTTTACCTAACCTTTCCCAGTGTGTAGCTAAGTGGACATCCTGCGTGATTAATATTGATTCGACTGACTTTCTGTGTCTCTAATGTTTGTTGTTCTTTTATGAAGAGGAAACTCCAAGTACCATTACTATGGGATTCGCGTCAAGCCAGATTCCCCTCTGAATCGTCTGCAGGAAGACATGCAGTATATGGCTATGAGGCAGCAGCCCATGCAACAGAAACAAAGGTAGACTCTGGAATGTTCCCTGACCTGTCCAAGCTACGCATTTCTCTAGATGTACGGTCTCCTTTTTTCTAGAGCTAATACCTAAGTGTGCAAAAATGTGGCTGTTGTCAGCATTCGTTTAAAAATCACCATGAACAGTTCTCAAATATGATTTAGTAGAATTTCATCTCCCTGTTTTCCAAATCTTTTTAAAATTACTTATCAGACAACCCACTGGGCCCCTTGTAAGTTAAATGTGACATCCCAAACTATGCTGCTGAGGAGACCCAACACAACACGTAAGGCGCAAACCCAAGCAAATGCCTCCTGGGAAACTGGTTTCGGTGTTGGTGAGTTCCTTTCTTGCTGTTGGCAACCTCCCTCAGTCACTCTTCTTGACATGGTAGGAGCAATGGCACCATGTTCAAGACTTTTTACGTCTTCTTTGAATCCAGCTTTCGTGGATGGATGGATAGATGAATGTATGGATGGATGGAATCATAGATCTCGAAATTAAAAATACCTCGGTCTAGTCTGGCCCCTCAGCTTTGTGACAACCAGAGCCTTAATAGCTCTGTTTTTCAGGGAAGTCCCAGAGACGTTAAATGATCTACTCAAGCCCATAGTGCTGTTACCTAGCCCAAGGCTTTCAAGTCTCATGTGGCTTATGTCACAGTCTGGAGTAAGTAAAATGAACAATCTCTTCCTTTTTACCAGTATAGCTCAGTTATAATCGTATTTATAATTCTTCTTTTCAATTGAGCATGCAGAATTAAGTAGGGGAAAGGAGGTCTGTACACAGGTCATCAGATGGCCTGCCTCAGTCTGCCGAATTTATTGGTCTGGGATGATTAGCCGGGTCCCCTCCCCAGCCATACTAGCTTAGTCGGAAGCATTCGCTCCAGTGACTGCCGGAGAAAGACTCTGTCACACAGTGGTCCTTCCTTTCCTTAGTCAGCAAGCATGCTAGACCCCCGTGTGCCCAGGGAAGACACAGTCTCTAACTTGGAGGAGTTAAGAAATTAGAAGGAGAGGCACGGGAACCTTTTTTCTTAAGGAATGCAGTGTGAGAAGTGCTGAAGTAAAGCTTTGATCCAGGAACTAGTGAAATACAGAAGAATTTTCAGCTAACCCCAGGAGGACTGAGAAGTGTCCTAGAGAAAGCGCTGTTTGGGGGGGTCTCAGAGGGATCAGGAAGATGGACTCAGGCAAGCAAGAGCTCTGGGGAGTATAAAGTCCAGGATGTCCTTAATAAGTACTGTGTGATTTAGTGAGGCTGACCCGGGAGGGGCAGAACTGAGGAGAAGGTTGAGTGGTTCAGCAGGAGATGAGATTTAAAACTTCCTTTGGACCTTACCTTGGGGGACTCAGTGGTATATGCGGCCAGTAACTTTGGTCTTTGTGTGCAACATGGCTTTAAAGCTGTGTAAGGCTTTGGAGCAAAACAATGGGACTTGCAGATTTTTTTTAAAGAGCTTTATTAGGGACAAGACTATATTTCATGGGAGCAGACTGGAGGTAAGAGGCTCGTTAAGTGGTTTAACGCGATCAAAATTTCTGGTGCTAGTGTTCTAGACTGAAGAGTCCGTCCATTCAGGATTGGCTGTTAAATGGTGATCTCTAGGGTTTCACATTTTTGAATCACAGGTTCTCGACCTTCTTTGTTGAATTGCTAATTTCTGGGTTTTTTTGAGGTATAGTCAGTAAAGTATACTAAAAGGTCTTGGAGAAATACAATAAAATGAGTCAGAACACTCCCTTATACGGAGGTGGAGTTCATGTGAATTGTCATCAATGGTTATCGTCGCGGGTTATGATTATCTGGTTCACCTATTAGCAGCGACACTTTCGTCTCTGGTGTGTCCTCTGCTGTTAGGCATCGCAGCACTGCCCAGTGGAGCTGATGGTGACGTCAAGATCAAAACAAGTTGGTCCAAAAAGAACATATTCAAACTTAAATATTGAACAAAAACTTGATCAGTTGCTTTTAAGATAGCTTGAAGATGACCTCTCCCTGTGATTTACCTGCAAAGAATCAAGCAAGTGCTCATGGAAATGGGAGCCTTCAAGGAATGTTCATTGTTTAAAAAAAAAAAAAAAAAAGCCCATGGGGCGCCTGGGTGGCTCAGTCCATTAAGCATCTGCCTTCAACTCAGGTCATGATCCCAGGGTCCTGGGATCGAGCTCTGCCTTGGGCTCTCTGCTCGGTGGGTAGTCCGCTTCTCCTTCTCCCAGCCACCCCTGCTTGTGTTCCCTCTCTCACTGTGTCTCTCTCTGTCAAATAAATAAGATCTTAAAAAAAAAAAAAAAAAAAGCCTGGGTCAGGGAAGAAAGACCTGGGGCTTAAAAAGGCCTCCGTATGAAACAGATTCCAGAGCTCTAAAGGTTTACAAGCCATGAATACTCTGCCCTCTCAGTCTAGTTGTAATTGCTTTTAGAGTTAGACCTAATGCGGATATATTTAAGAAGGGATATAAAATTCTCAGTGATGCTAATAAATTGTACCAACTTTAGTTCCTTTACAGTGTTTGCTTTCTTGTGAAATAAGCATGTGAGAGAACCAAAGACGTACAGTTGACCCGTGAGCAACAGGGAATCAGGGGCACTGACCCCGCCACATGTCCAAAATCTGGCTTTAACTTCTGACTCCCCAGAAAAACTTCACTACTAATAGCTTAATGTTGACCAGGAGCCTTACCGATAATAGAAAGTCAATGCTCATGTGTTTTGTATGTTACATGCACTATATGGTATATTCTTACCATAAAGTCAGCTGGAAAAAGAAAATGTTACTAAAAAAAAAGTCAGGAAAATACATTTACAGTATGTATTTATTGAAAAAATGCTGTGTGTAACTGTGTGGATCTGCACAGTTCAAACGTGTTGCTCAAGGGCTGGTGGTACTGAAATTTTCTTTATTTGTTTTTAATGAGACAAGTTTTGGATTATGGATAGTTGCTCTTGGAATGGTGTCTTGATCACTGACTGCCCTGTTAGTGTTGTCAACCTCACAGACCCCTCACTGGGACTAGCAGGACAGAGGAAGTGTTCTGTTTTCTCTCTGAAGGAGTCTACCAACTGGCCACGTTCTTAGCCGTTCAGTGAAGCCTGTTATCCCATTGTGCAAGAAGACTTGGACAGAAGAGGGAGAGTTTCTCTCTCTAAGTCTGGATGTCGGGGTTAAGAGTATTTGTTGAAAAAAGCCAGTGAAATCGAAAAGTATTGTATCGTTTGTCTATGGCTTATAAAACTCAAACGACTCTACTGAATATATTCAATTTCACATAAGAAGAGCCTGCCATTCTTGTTAAAATATAAGTCATGTGAAAGGTTTAAAATATTTTGTAGCAGCTACTTATATCTAATATTTTAGAATATTCAGATTATCTCAACTCCTCGAGCATTAGTGCATGCATGTACATGTCTACATCTTCCGAAGTATAAATTTACATGTTTTATGTGTTCTTACGGAATGAAAATTCAAGTATATGCAGTGATCATTGGATCAAATAGAAGTGAAGTTTTACAGCTCAGTTTGCACATTTTTCTGTGAAGTTGGGAGTCACAGTAGTTGGAGAAGTACTAATGATAGTCATTCTGTATATCTTTATAATTATTAGAACTCCTTTACTTTTGGTCTCTCACCTGAAGATTTGATAGGGTAGTATAGGAAATTTCCACTTGTCTCCACATCCAATTCCCAGCAACATCACCATATGGGGCATAGCCACAAGTCTGGAAATAAATGGAAACAGCTTCTGATCGAAAAAACGGATGTCATAGAGCCCGTAGTATATAGCTTAATTGGAAAGATGAAGCCATCCTCAAGCCATGTACCTAAACTAAAGGAGCAGATGAGAGCCCACTTGATTCATGGGCAATCGTGGGGTAGAAGAGCTGGCAAGAGGAAATGTAAGTGACAAGGTGACAAGGGTCTTCTGTTTGCTTTTGGGTTAATCAACACCAGAAGGGTGTGTACATTCAGTGGAAGGACAAGTAGATCCAGGTGCTCCAGTAGTTTTGAGTATCATCAGTAAGCGACTAGAATATAGTCCAACGCAGTGTAATAACTTTGGCTTATTGATGACAGTACAGGTAATCAAAAAGATGTAAAGTATCCTGGGTTTAAAAAATAAAGGAGAATGTATAATTTTTTAAAATGCCTTCTGTTGAAAGTATTTCACATGAAAATAACTTCTGCACGTAAATGTCTTCTCTAGTTTCAAGGAAACTCACTCATGGATAATTTGCATGCCCTTATTTAGGCAATAAATAAGTCAGGTTATTATAGAGCAAAAAGGAGATCAGGACTTCTCAGGTCTACAACCAAGTAAAAATGTTTGCTGCAGTTTATTTTTCACATTTGAAAGAACAGTTGAAAGAGAGTGTTGGCATATGTATTTGAGTTATTCTTCCAAATCCTCATAGCAGAAGTGGTAGAATGGAGCCAAGTGCTTTTGACAGTGTGCTTGGCTGTGTTTGATCCCAGTAGCCAGTCTCAGAATATTAAGGTGCCTTTATCATTCCTCCAGTAAACACCTGACCACCAGCAGTTGCATATAGAAAATGTCCATCACATCTAAAAGAGATGGAATCATAGAATCGTACACTCTTACAGCTGGAAGGAAGAGATTCCCCCAGTCCAGTCCATCCTCTTGATGAGAAAACTGAAGTCCATCAGGGTACCTTATCCACAATCATATAACAAGGGAAGAACGCAGTCCTCTTGCCTTTGTTCTTACAAGAATGCCCCCTTTAAAGAGGGAAGATAACCCAACCAGGAACATACACATGTAATAAATTTGTGCATATGAAATAAAGGGAAAAATCACACTTCAGTGAGTATGTCCCAAGTAGTGGGGGCAGGTGTCACCTCCTGCCTCTTTGAATGGTCTCTTCATAGGAAATGGATCTGTGAAAGAAGGAAGCTTTGTGGTACAGAGAGGAGAGAGAGGCCAGTTGGAAACACAGCAGGGCTGCTTTTGCTTTGATGTAGACGGATGTGAAAGTACCCATGTCTC